GTTTTGGATGACTCCCACAATATACGTGAATTCATCAGAAACTGGACCGAGCAACTCCCTGGTCAAGCAAGTATAGATGGTTAGTTAGCTGATGGAATGATTTTGCAGTTCCGAGCTCCTGTCCTAGTCTACTGCAAAAGCCCAAGAGTTGCCTTCTTCATTCATGTCACAGGTGCCTCCGGACGCCGGCATCAATCACCGCACGAATCAACGATTTATCCGCATCATATTAATATCTATATCTATCTCTCTATACATATATACACATTGATATAGGTTTCCGTTATGATTAACCCTTCTTCGTTGAATTCTAGCTACTTTAATAAGTATTTATTATCTGCCTTGCTTGGTCTTTGCTTTCTTGAAATTTCCAATAGAACAACACGATGTCGTAGAAAAGGCAAAACTTGCTGCCAAAAAATAAATAAAATAAAATAAAAAATGACAATATATAGATAATATTATGGCTGAAAGTCCGGCAATAATGAAAGGTAAAGGAGGGCAATAGAAAAACTGAACAATGAATGAAATGGAAATATAGGAACAGGGAATGCGGAGAGATTATTAGAAAAAAAAAATAGAGAGAGAGAGAGAGAGAGAGAGAGAGAGAGAGAGAAGAAAAAGAAGAAGGAAAACCCCAAATGCATAAAGGAGACGGAATATGACAAGACGATGGAAAAGTTAGGAAGGTGATAAATGAAAACTCGGGCTAGACATGGCCTCGCAACTGACAGCAAGAGAAGAAAGAAGGATATGGAGATGCCAAAATAACAGGGAGGTGAAGAGAAGGAGAAAAAAAATGGCAAGGGCGGCAGAAAGAGAGATAACGGTTAAACGGTGGGCCCGCGCACGGGAGTTATATTGAACTAGGGAAATGGATGGCGGACGGTAATGATGCTGAAGCTGAAAATGAAGGTAATACGAAGCTTTCATACACACACACACACACACACACACACACACAAACTAGCAATCTGCCCTTGGAGGTGCCGTTTTCGGCTCCCCATAGTTCACTAGGGAGAACTTTTGTTCACGCTCCTGCTCCTGCTCCTCATTTTACCCCTTCTCCCCGCCACACCGATTTAGAGAGGGGGGGGGGGAAGCAGAAGGGAGAAAAGAAAGGATAATTGAAGAAAAGGTGAGAAAAAAGAAGAAAAATAAAGCCAAAGCCAAAGCCTAAACCAAGACCAGGAAAAAAAAAAAAAAAAAAAAAAAACCTAGGCTATCTGTTGTCCCGGCCGCGGAAACACCGGCGTCGTCTGCAAATTCTCCAGTCCCCCCATCGTCCCCTGCTGATTCATCTGCCACCCCTGGCCCGTCTGCTGGTTGATAAACGTGCTTTGGCGGAACGGGTTCGTGCTGCCGGTCGGGTTGGGGCGGAGGGGGGGAAGTGTCGCGCCGGGCATTGGAGTTTGGGTTTGGGCTTGCGGTCGGAGGCCAGGAGCTGTTTGGGGGCGGGCGAAAGGGTTTGTGCCTGTTCGTTGTGGTTGGAGGGGAGGTGCGGTCGGTTGTTGTTGATGTTGTTGTTGTTGTTGTTGGGATGGGAGTTTTGGGAGGGGTTGCGTGGGTGGCTGTGAGGTAAAGGGGGATGGAGATGATGGGGATTGGGAGTCGTTTGTGAATTGCGGGGATTGCATTGTTAGACGTTTGGCGAAAGGGTTTGTGGATTGGCGGGATAGAGTAATTGTGGAGAGGCTCGAGGGGGAGGAGGTTGTAGGGCTTAGCGTGGATTGCAAGGAGAAGTTGGTGGTGTCTGATGAGGGTTGCGGGAGCATGGATTGGCGGAAGGGGTTGTTTGGCCGTCCGCCGCCGGTAAGCATGGGCTGCTGCTGGAAAGAGGCCATCCCGTTTTGCGGGATGCTGGGGAGAGTTGTTTGGAAGGTGTGCGATTGTACTTGCGAGGTGTAGCCGCCGAATTCGGCGCCTGTCTGCGCTGGTTGGAGAGCCTGTAGTTGTGGCTGATGTTGAGGCTGTGACTGTATCTGGCCAAAGGGGTTGGAAGTCAATTGTCCGAATTGGCCGCCAAAACCCGCTTGCTGGTGCTGCTGCTGACCAAGGCCTGTTGGAATCTGCGTGAATTGCTGTGACTGCGAGAAGTTATTTTGTTGCGGGCTAAACCCGGTTTGCTGTTGCTGGAAGCCCGCCTGTTGGAATTGCTGTGGCTGCATGTTTTGTGGCTGCTGCTGGAACTGCATTGCTAGAGGGTTGAATTGCTGTTGTTGAGGGGCTTGCTGCGGCATGGACGGCCGCTGCTGTCGAGGTTGGTCGGTGGAGTCAAAGAGATCAATTAGATTAGGCCCTGTGGTTTTCACTTCCAGTTTTGGTGCAGTTTGTGGTGCAGTTTGTGATGCAGTGGGCGCCGGCTTTGATTTCTGCGGCGCTGAAACTGCTCGACTTCTCCCGGCTCCCTTGTCCTTCTCCTCACCGGCTGTTCCAAACTTTTGCGCACGATACTCGCGCCGGCGCTGGTCGAAATCGGGATCATTGAGGTCATCTTCGAGGAGCTTGGCCAGGTCGGTGGACGCATGCTTCAGATTCGGTATCGCCAGGCGTGTGGCGTTTTCAAACTGCCGCGCAATACGCAAAAACTTCACCACTTCTTCGGTCTGCACGCTGAATCGTTTGTATATCTTTAAAGCTCGCTCGGTATCCGGTCGTGACATTTCAAAGTAATTTTCTACCAATTAACGCCCGACGTAAGCGGTTATACAACAGCGGAGAATCCTGCAAATCGGGTGTACATACCTAGGATATTAATTGTTCCCTCATTCATCACAGAGTAAAGTGACAAGAGATCTAACGTCAGCAACCGGAATGCCGTCAGACTGATCTCGTTCTCTGGCTCGTCCATTAGGAGCTTGAAAAGAGGACACCGTCAGCATGTGCGTCCAGCGATGTTGTGTCAAACCCGATATATATATATATATATGTATATGTTTGCGCAACTCACATTACATTTCACCAGCGTATGGATCTGCTTCTGTACAATCTCCGTCTCCCTCAACAAGCCCTTGCTCACAGTAAGCCGCTTTAATCGTCCCTGGCCCCCGCGGACGAAATCCGTCTTTGTCTCTCCAAAGGCAGTGGCACGCGAAACGAGATACTCGGAGTATTTCCATATATTAAATCCCTGCGCCTGGACTAGATTTGAGCGTCAGAATCTTCGTATTCCAACTACATGGAGGAGAATCAAAAACAGCATCGGTATATTCCATCGCCATCACGTACCTTCAGATATACTCGTGACAGTCAGTACCCTCGGATTCTGCGCCAGAAATTTCAACGCAGCGCCGGCGGACCCTTCGCGGATCATCATGTGCACTACGATAAGGGCCTTGTATACGATGGTCCATGTTGACTCACGGATGCGATACTGAAGCGTGCGGAAGATCTCGGCGACGCCGGCCTCGCTGTATGTTGCGGTCAGGATATGCTCGATGTACTTAGATTTCGGGGCGGCATTCTGTTTTGGGTTCCCAGTATGTGTTAGCTTTTAGGCTGGGCTTGAACTCCGCTTGGCTCTTCGGAGTCGGTTTGTATATTGGATACGTGGGAGGGGAGGGGAGGAAGGGGAAAGGGGAAAATGCATTGAGTTTGTTGGCGATGAATTTGGGCAGCTCTATATATGTACACTGACTTTACTCTTTGTTGCTCCCTTGACGGATTTCTCGAAACTTGCGCCAGGCATAGCTGGCTGCGTCCGGGGACGAGTGGTAGGTTAGGTGATATACGGATATCGGATTGGTGGCCTCTTGGTGCCTTTTGGTACCCTTTGGTCAGAAGGTAGGCGAGACTGCAGGCGGGAATGAAGGAGAAGAGGAATGCGGGAGCTGCCGTCTCCCGGGGGTTGCAAGAGGACACTGCTATCCGGAAGCCGATAAATCAGGGGTTTCAGTTTTCGGGATAGAGATTCGAGTGGTCGCTTTTGCTATGGTTTAGCTTGCTAGGAGATAGAGCAGCGCACAGGGAAGTTCATGATGGCGGCGGCTTGGTTCTTTGGTATACACAAAATGATAAGTGGCTCAAAAACTCCGTTCCACACCGTGCACGGCTACAAGCCTTGCTCAATTGGTAGAAACAGCAACACCTGTCAAAAGGCGGGGGGGACAGCGCTGGCTTGGTGAACTCTGCGTCGACTAGAATTTCGACGGCAGAAATAGCGACCGTGGCGTCAGCGGATGATATGCAGGTGGCAGACGGAGCCGGATTCCAGGGGGAATAAGCTGGGTGTTGGGTGGGATCCGTGGGGATGAGGTGCAAGGCGGTCGGGATTTGGGTGAGGTTGAGGACGAGGTTGAAGGTTGAAAGTTGCAAGGTGAAAAGTTGACGGTCGAAGAGTCGAAGAGTCGCCGGCCAGGACAGGGGAGGGCGATCTCGACGCGGCTTGGAGCGAGGAATTTTTATTATTTGAACAAATCCATATAACTACTCAGAGTACGTTAAATACTGTGGATATTCCCGAGATTGAGGGCCATGCAAGTTCCGAATCAGTTTTTTTCTTATTGCCGTTGAAAACCCGTTAAGCCATGGAAATATATTTAATTATTTCCATGTCAAACGGACACATATTGTATGGAGACTATTTAGGCTCAGTTCATATCCAATACGCATCCAGGCTCTGCATCAATTCCACGCCATGAATATCTCATGAGGAATCCCCTTCAAAACAGAACCAGATGCGGATTTCCTATCCTTACAGGACACCCACACCTATGGTTGGAGTGATGTATCTGTTGGTTCTATATATATGACAACGGACAAACAGGAACACGTCTAAGAATTCACAACCGGCGAACCAGCTTTTCTTCAAAAGGGAGACAAAATATAGCATATCCGACCGCCGATCGTGGAGAATTGGGGAAAAGAAACGCCCATCCCCCATAAATATATATACACCAGTATCCAAACCAACCAAAATAGAAAATCCAATCAATCAACAAGGAATTCGTAGGAAAGCAACCACAACACAAAGAAAAGGAAAAAAAAAAAAAAAAAAAAATCTACATCCACCCAATCCCACCAACCCACCTCCGCTCCTGTTCGTGTTCGTGCTGCTGCCGCTGTACATGTACCTGCCCCGGCTCCCGGTCCATCGACATATGCACTGGCACGAAGCCCCGGACACCAGCACAGGCACCCAAATCCGTATCCATACCCATGTCCATGTCCATGTCCATACTCATATTCCCACCCGGACCCTCGGCCGGCGTGTGGCTGGGTATCGACAAGCCGTTATTTGGCATATGGGAGGTAGCGGGAGACATGCCGTTCTTGAATCCATGGCTATGGATATTGCTCTGGGTATCATTCCGCGACGTGCGGACTGGCTGGAAGAACCTCTGCAGCGTGTGTTGGTTCGGATCTAGTGGCGGTGGCTGTTGCTGTTGTTTGAGGGCTTCCGCTGTAGACGTTCCCAGGGTGGGTTCTGCGGTACTCTGCGGCTGCCGCTGGGCGGAAAAGAGCCATTGGAGGGTTTTATCTGTTTGCACAGACAGAGCAAAAGTTTTGAAATTAGCTGGAGAAGCCGCGCACCAACTCGTCACTGCTTTATGGCTGGCTTACCGTATATGGTCTGCTCGTCCGGACGGTCGTTCCGGAAACGTTTGCGGGTGCGGCTGTGGAGGTGTCGTGGGGGCTCGTCGACGGTGATTGTCGCGGTTCCTAGGAAGGGCATTGGGGTTGGGGAGGTCTGGTCGTGATTGAGGTAGATTGAGGAGCTGTGGGGCCTTGGGGACGTGATGGTGGTGAAGGACGCCTTGCGTTTGAGAGCCATGCTGGATGAGATATACAGAGGGATGCAGAGATGGACTGTGGATGGGTATGGTGTGTATACGCTGCGTCGGCGTGGAGATGGGTTCAGACCGGCGCGATTGGGAGTGGGAAATACCAGATCCCCGTGAACTGCGATGCGTATATCCGGGAGCTTCGGGATAGCTGGAAGCCGTTGCGGGAGTTGTAACTCCTGCGTATGTGATACTGTACCAAACCAGCTCTCTATGTAAGGACAGATGCGGGAGCGGAAAAACTAAGCTGTTGGAGGGCGCTGATTGGCTGTTGACGCGGAATATCTATCCTGCGGAAAACCAGAAACGGCCACGAGTACAATCGGTAATTTTGGCATCGTTTTTGCTTTGTATCGATTCGACACCCATTCGGCCCTCAATTCTACAAGTTCTCCCTCTCGATGAATCGGCCAATGCAACGAGATATCTCGCACTGTTTGCGGCAAACATCGACGTCCAAGAAACGCCGGACTGGTTTAGAGACGCGTGGTCACGTGGTAGATCAAGCTGGTTCCAGATCCAGTGGACATGACGCGACTTCTTCAGAGAAAATCCCCCGCATCGACCAGCGCTAGAACGCAAGTTGGCAGCCAATTCATAGCCAGATTCGGGCGCTCTACTCAAGTTGATCGGCTCGAAAGGCTGATATATGCTCTTCGTCCAACAAGAAACAATAGCCAAGGTTTTCCGCAGGTTTGCGCACTTTTCAGTGACCCTGACTCGTCGACAAGTTACATTGTTATGGAATTCATCGAAGGGGCAACACCCTAGATACTCAGACAGTACTTTCGGGAAATGCGTGATTCCTCCCTCATCAGGTTATTTTATGGCAGTATCGGGGGAATCCCCTTTCTGCATGGTATTTTCTGGACCCCATCACAGTCGCCGCTTTCGATCAATGGTAGTTTCGACTCTGGAGCTGCATTGAGTGAGGCAATGACTTTGAAGCCTATAGAAGCAGCCGATCTCCCTACCGCCCGCAAGGCTGACTTCTATCACCATGCGCCGAAATTTATGCTTGGGGGACTTCCAGCGTAAGAACATCGCAATCAAACAAAGCGTCTGACGATGCCCATATTATATTCCCCACCAATATGAGATAACCCTCATCGATTTGGGGGACATCTGGATAGTACCCCAGCTAGTGGGAATATTCCGTAATGATGTGTGCCAGCAGGTGTGGTGGTGACTGAGATAAATGGTTTACTAGAATTTTGCGACCGTTCAACGCGGAATTTCCTAGGCTCAACTTGACGTTGCTGGATTTATATGGTCCTGGCTTTGACAATGGATCATGGCATCGTTTCCTTAAGAGGAGAAAGTCTTATCTCATCCGCCTCCATACGTAGAGTTTACTCGACAAGCATTCTTCTTGATATAAGGACTGCCTGCAAAGACTCCTGAAGAGACTGAAAGAGACTTAATAGCCATCACATCACAGATGCAAAATTCGATGATCGGCCAGCGCCCGCGTAGTCCCACAGAAGTCCACCCTCAACACCGACGGGAGGTAAACCACGTATGACATGGTCCCGGGGTCGACAGATAGGTAACCTGTACGCGAAGCGCTTCAATTAGATTAGAAGAGTATCACATGGTTAGTGGTGGATACTTCTAGGAACGAACTTCTTCAGACATAATATAGAGGCTCAATAGCTGCAGCAATCTGAGATTCGTCTCAGAGCAAGCTCGAACATTGTTCTTTAGTTACCATATGACAGATAACTTGTTTCTTCACGTGTAGCTCCATCGCTGCCCTTAGTTACGATGGGGGCGTAGCAACTCAGTAGTCTTGCGCGACAGCGATGTCGATCCACGAACCAATGCCAAATTTCTCAGCAGAAGAGGCGCATCGGCAGCCTTTCAACTAGATAGATGGTGGTTCATCCAGCGTGTCTCGGATATAAATAATAATACATACGCTGCGTACACTGCGTACAGGAAAATGTTTTGCTCCATCAAAATGGCGGGGGAGCGTTGAGTCAGCAGCCCCTACGTCATGGCACAAACCCCACCAACCACAGTCCGTCTTCCGCGACTCTTCATCACCAACTCCGCCCACCAAGCTTGCTATCAACGAGCAATCCCGAACACAACATCGCCTACGATCCAGCCCAGAATGCCCTCCAGAGAAGCAACGCATGCCGGGTCCTGGTACTCAGACCACGAGCCAACCCTCTCGAGCCAGCTGGAGAAATGGCTTGCTCAGGTCCCAGACGAGCTGCCTGGCATCGGCCGACTCCCCATTGCGGGAGCTAGAGTCATCATTGCACCGTATGCTTCCGTGCTCTTCCTGCGCATCCTGCCCTTGATGGCCTTTTCCTCATCGACTTGCTAACATCACCACCGTCTATATGGATGCGCAGTCACGCTGGTTACGCATACTCTGGACCGTGTGCTGCATGGGCTTATAAGGCGCTGGACCTCTCCAAAGCGTATGTCCACCTCTATCTAAACCATATTATAAAAAGAAACTCTCAACATGTAACTAACCAACAACAAACAAACAAACAACAGGAAAAGCATCTTCCTCCTCGGCCCCTCTCACCACCACCACCTCTCACAGGCCTCGCCCTCCCGCAACTAACCAGCTACAAAACCCG